ATTACAATGGTTTGTAATTTTCCAAAGGGCCAAAGTACATGAACATGTATACATCATAGCTGTGGTGTTAAAATTCCATTGTGGGCCGGGCGCGGCGGCTCACGCCTATAAACCCAGCACTTTGGGAGGCTGAGGTAGGTGGATCACCTGAAGTCAGGAGTTCAAAACCAGCCTGGGTAACATAATGAAACCCTGTCTCTACTAAAAATACAAAAATTAGCCAGGCATGGTGGTGCGCACCTGTAATCCCAGCTACTCGGGAGGCCGAGGCAGGAGAATCGCTTGAAATCAGTAGACAGAGATTGCAGTGAGCCCATAGCCCATATCACGCCACTGCACTGCAGCCTGGGCTATAGAACAAGACTCCATCAGGAAAAAAAAAAAAATCTGTTGTGCGGGGAAGTGATTAGAGAAAAATGTCTTTAAAGGCTCCTGAGGGTGGGTGATAGTGAAAAATTGATTGAGAAAAGGCACTGCTCCAACACAAACCCCATTTCAGCCAATGGCAATCCAAGCCTTCCATGGCTCAGGCCAAAGCCTTGGAGGCGATGATCTCGGCTCCTCCCTTTTTGAAACAACCCACGTCCAATCCATGAAGAAATCCAGTTGGTTCTGCCTTCAAAATAGATCCAGAATCCAAGCCCTCCCAACCACCCCCACAGCACCCACCCTGATTCGAACCACCATCATGTCTTGCCTGGATTAGTGCAGCAGTCCCCTGACTGGTCTCCCTGCAGCTGCCCCCGCTCCCTACACACACACCCAGAGTGATCTTTTTACAATATACGCCAGCTCATGTCCTTCCTCTTACAAAAGACACTCCAGTTGCTTCCCATCTCCCTAAGTTCTTATAGTGACCTGTCCTCCCCTCTCCCCCCATACTCTCCCCCTACACTCTCCTGACCACTTCCTCCCTCCGCTCCAGCTCCACAAGCCCCCTTGGTTTCCTCCAACAAACCAGGTATTATCCCACCCTACAGCGTTTGCACTGGCTGTTCCCTCTCCCTGGTACACTGTTACCCAGATAACTGCAGGGCTAAATCCCTCTCCTCCTTCAAGTCTTTGCTCAGATGCCACCTTCTCAATGAAGCCTGCCCTCATTACCCTGTCTCAACATTGCAATCCACCCCCAGATAACCCTCACTTCTCTCCACCTTTTCTTTTCCCAAACACTCACCACCTTCTAACACACTATCACATTTCCTTCTTTTGCTCATTGCTGATTGCTATCTCCCTCTGCTAAATGCCAGCTCCTGAGGGCAGGGATCTTCGTTTTGGTCACTGTTGCATCTTCAGCATGACGACAGAGCCTGGCACACACTAGGTGTGCCTGATACACCCTGGACACTCACTGCAGCCTCCTGCCATATCTGCTTTCTGATTTTTCCCACCCCAGGTTCCATCATATCTCCCCACCTTTGAAACCACATTTTCCTGTCCCTGAAATGCCCCCCACGCCCCCATCCCTTAGTGAGCTCTTTCTCAGCCTCAGAACTCTCTCAAAGACGACTTCGCCTCTCTGGTTAGGTCAGGAAGGGCCCTGCCTGCCAGACAGGGAATCTGAGCTTTTTCCTAAGAGCAATTATGGATCCATGGAAGGGCTTTGAGCTGAAGAGCAACCTGGTCACACTTGCGCTTTGCTGCCCTTAGGATAGTGGACAGGAAGGGAGCCAGGCTGGAGGCAGAGGAGGAGACCTAGGGATGAAGTCGATGCAAGATGGAAGGACCGGGGCTAGGGCCATGAATGAGGGGCAGCGGAGGCTGCGAAGGACTGGAGCCAGAAAGGAAAAAGACCAGGACTCACCACCAACAAAATGTTTCCAGGTAAGGAAAAGAGGGAAAGTAGGGACATGGCCAAGGTCTCTGCTTTGTAGGGTCAGGGTTGTGGTGGTGCCTTAGCTAAGGACAGGTCATGGGGGAGCTTCTCTCCTATGCGAGAAGCTTCTCTTCTCTCTCACTATAGCTTCCATCCCCTTTCACTGAAGCATCTTGTACCCCAACACTTCTGGCCATAAAGAGAGAGGTCGATGGGGATTTGGAGAGGGATGGGCCTTCCCCAGGGGAACACAGACCTCAGACCTGGAGTGGAGGGAAGGGGCTCACACAGAGGTCTTTTTCAGAAAACAGGCCTTAAGGCTGTTCCCCAGAAATTAGAGAGGAACTTCCGGCCGAGAAGCCCATACTTGCCTCATGTTCTGCATAGCCTTGTTTGACCAGAAAGACAAACAGGACAGGGAGTGGCCTTTGTGACATTTTATGAGGACTCCCCAACTCAGCCCAGGGTGTGGCAGTCAAGAGAAGACAAAAGGCATCCCCTAGTCAGACACAGCTATCCCTGGAGCATCTCCCTGGAGGAGCCAGAGACCCTCAGAATCATCTCATGGTATGTCCTCATGTTGCAGATGGGGAAACTGAGGCCCAGAGACAGAGAGAAGCAAATTGCCACAGGGCACAGTTGATATTACCAGGAGGGAACTGAGGCCACAAGGAGAGGACTTATCTGGTCTGATAGGGATAGACTAATAATAGCCCCGGTATTTGTATAGTTATTTTCTTCCCAGGCATTCAGAGCACTGCACGTCCATGATCTCATTTGTCCACAAGACATCCCTCTGGGATGGGTGACAAGGCGACTTCATGCAGATGTGAAAATGCTCTGTCATCCCCCGCCGCCTGCCCCCAATAACCTTAATTTTCTTTTTCAGTCTCTATTATGTCCCCTTTCTTCCCATAACCAATTTAATTCAACAAAGATTGACGAGGCTACTGCTTGGTGCAAGGTGCTGGGCATTTGGGAAACTTCAGGATTTCCCCAGGGCCAAGGTCATTGCTCTGCTTTCTGAAGTCCCAAAGCACTGTGTTCAGACCTGCATTTGTACACATCCTATTGTCTCCCTACAGCTACCATCTTGGAGGGCAGGGCTTGGTCTCGTTCAAGCTTGCACACCTCCATAGTGCTCAGGCCAGGGCCTGGCATTTGGGAGCCTGGAGAAATCCTTGACCAGGGCCATGTTTCCCTGAATCCACCTGTCAATGCACTTGTCGCACTGTATGACAATTACTCAGAGAAGGAGCAGGATTCTGTATATGCAGTGCCTAGTACATAGCAGCTATGTCATTAATATTTGCTGAATGGATCAATAAAAAATGTGAAAGGAGGAAGATGAGGGTGGATAGTAATGGGCGATCCTTGCCCTGAAAGAGCTCCCCGTCCGTTGCGGGGGTGGAGCAGGTGGGCAGAAAGCGGGATTGAAGAGCTGTATAAATGCTATCAACTTGGACAATTCCATCACCGAAATGCTGAGAAGTGCCATGGGGCTACAGAAGAGGGGAGTTCAAACTCACCTGGGAGAATCAGGGATGGCTCCCTGGACAAAGTGACAGTGAAGACGGGCTTTGAAAGGTGGAAACCCATAGGGAGGAACTCAGTTTTTAGCTGAAGGCAGGGCACTGGGCAAGACGAGGAGGTCAAAAGTCATACTGGGGCAGACTCTGTCTCAGGCTAAGCTGCTCCTTTCCACAGGCGCGGGGAGCCATCAAAGGTCCAGGAGCTGAGAAGACAGTAGCGCAATTGGATCTTGTGTCTCAGAAAACCACAGAGAGGCCGGGCGCGGTGGTTTATGCTTGTAATCCCAACACTCTGGGAGGCGGGCAAATCATTTGAGGCCAGGAGTTCAACACCAGCCTGACCAAGATGGCAAAACCCTGTCTCTACTAAAAACACAAAAATCAGCCAGGCATGATTGCAGGTGGCTGTAATCGCAGCTACTCAGGAGGCTGAGGCATGAGAATGTCTTGAGCCTGGGAGGCGGAGGTTGCAGTGAGCCAAGATCATGCCACTGCACTTGAGCCTGAGTTACAGAGCAAGACTCTGTCAGAAAAGAAAGAAAGAAGGAAAGAAAGAAAGAAAGAAAGAAAGAAAGAAAGAAAGAAAGAAAGAAAGAAAGAAAGAAGGAAAGAAAGAAAGAAAGAAAGAAAGAAAGAAAGAAAGAAAGAAAGAAAGAAAGAAAGAAAGAAAGAAAGAAAGAAAGAAAGAAAAGGAAAGGAAAAAGAAAACCACGGGGAGGGAGGGCATGGATGGAAAAGACTGGGGGAGGCAAGTGACTGGGCAGGAGCCAGGTGAGGTGGAGGGTGAGCGGCTTGAGTGTCTGACTTAGGGAGGTGGCTCAGGAGTCTGAGAAGAGGGTGTGAGAGGCTGGGCAGAGAAAAGGGTCTGAAGGATATGGACACTAATTAGGTGTGGGGGAAGAGCAGCTGGAGGATTTGGGGAACCGATGTGGGGCTTGAGAGAGTGATGGGGCCTTAGCAGCTGTGGGGTAACTCCAGGGAAGTAATGAGTTTCCTCCACCTGGTGGAGAGGCTTCACTAAGTACACAGCTGCGGAGCTTGGGAGGGAGGTCAGGGCCCCAGAGACAGTGCTGGGAATGGGGATGAAGCAAAAGCTGAGGCCGTGGGAGTGGATGAGGTCACGAAGAGAGTGGGTGAGAAAGAAAAGGGAAGAGAGGACGGAGCCTTGGGGGACGCCCACCGTTGGGAGGGGTGGGAGCAGGAAGAGAGCGGGAAATGAAGCAGCTAGGAAGATGGGGGTCCCCCATTCTTCCTCCTTTCCAGGGTGCCCGGCCTCTGCGCCCCCTCACCTCCCACGGGCCACACCCAGCTGAGGAGCAGGCTCTGTTGCCTGCTCAGCCTCCAGGAGAGCTCTGAGGAGTCGAAGGCAGGAAAGCCCAGGCATTGAAGGTTTGGGCTCTAGACCTGGTTGGAGCTGGTGTGACTCCCACCTGTCCCTCCACCCCGCCGGCTGCCCGACCTCAGGCAAGCCACGCCCCAGGCAAGCCACGCCCCTCGCCTCCTCAGCCCCCTCACCTTCCTAAGAGGATCACAACGGGACTTCCGTGACTATTAAATGGGATAATGCGTGTTATGCACTTGGCACCCGGGCCTGGCAGTCCCTCAGAGCTCAGTAAGTGCTGCCGGCTGCTCTGACGATTATTATTGAGCAGGATTGGATTCTGGCACTCAGGCCGGCAGGGCCAAGGAGCCCAGCAGCTCCCGGAGGCCTTGGTGAGGGAGGGGGCCTGGCCACCTGAACTCGCCCAGTCTCGGAGTGCTGGGGCCTCTCCTGTCATCCTCCTCAGCCCAGAGCCAGGGATGGCTGAACTGGGACAGTCCCAGCTCTCCCGGCGCAGATCACCCTTCCACCTGCGAGGGATAGGCCCCCACCCCCACTGCGGTCTTCAACTCCAGCTAGGGCAGAGGGTGGGGCCTCAATCCTGGGGCTGGGGATCCCTCAGAGAGAGTCATCTCCCCCGCCCCCCGTCTGTGTACCGGACCCCTCCTCCTTCCGGGCTGGCGCGGACGCGTCCTCTCAGGTCCGCGGTAATTTGTCTGCTCACGCGGGCTCCGCGGCACCCCCTCCGCGCACGCGCATCCCCGCCCCGGGCCGGATACTCGGGGCGCTCTGGGTGGGTCAGTCCAAGTTGCGGAGAAAGATATCTATGCTGGAGGCGCCGGCCTCGAGCCCAGGCCGGGCGTTAGCGGGAGCTCAGCTATTAAGAGCGGAGACGCCTCGTCCCCCGCCCCCCAAGAATTCTGCAGCTGGGACTCAGCCCAGGCGCGCCTTCTGCGCGGCCCTGGAGGACCAGGAGCGCGGGTGGCGAGTGGTGCTGGCTGGGATGGGGGCTGCTGGAGCAGGTCTTGGGTTGGCGGATTCTGGTTCCTGCCCCCTCACACACCGAGGCCTGAACCCTGGACTTCTCAGAGCCTCAGTTTCCCCTTCTCAACCTCAGCCTCAGACCTGAAAACAGGTCAATTGCTATCATCGTGGGCCTGCATGCCTGTCTGTGCAACCTCAGCCGGGCGGGAAGAAGAGTCATGGCCCGCTGAAGCCTGGGGAACAGGTCCCCATCCCACACTACCAGACCTGGCCTGGGCTCCCTGAGAAGAGGGGGGCTTGACCCCTCTACCAGCTGGGCTCGAGTCTGGGGTTCAAACTCAGGCCAGAGTTGTTCAGCGCTAGGAGGCCCCCATTAACTAGGCCACCCCTGGGGATGGGCGGTGGAGGCTGGAGCTGACTGGCCTGGGTGCCCGGGGGAGGTGGCTGCAAGGCCCAGGGCTTTGAACAAACCACAGAAGGTTTCTGCAATATCAAAAGAGCTCTTAGAGACTAATCATATGGGGGGAGGGGGGACAGTTGGCCAAAGAGCTTCTGCTTGGTTCCCATCAGCGAAGGATCAAAAAGCATTTGGTCAAAGAACCTTTAAATACCTTGAAAGGCAGGTGAAGCCAGTTCAGTGGGTTCCAACAGGGACTGAAACGCTGGTCTGAGCTGCAGACAAGCTGGCACCATCCACAGGAAATGCTGGGGGAGGGGCCCACTGAGGCAGGAGGGAGAAAAGGTGTGGCTAGACCAGCAGCCTACCTCCCTAACTGTCCCCTCTTCCCCCACACCCAGAAGTCACTGTGGAGAGGATGGGGAGGGCGGAGAACTGGGTTCAGACTGACAGAGCTGGAAGCAGTCTTGCAGGCTTCTGGGCCAGGGGTTTTCATCTGGAACCCAAAGGACTCCCACCCCAACACACACCCAATGATGGGCAAAATGTTGTGTCTCTGTTTGTATATGCACTTTTCTAGGGAGGAGAGGTCCACCGGCTTCATTAGCTTTTCACAGGGGTCTAAGACCCAGTCAAGATTAACAAACAACATCCTTATGGTACAGACTGGTGAAATGAGGCTCAGAAGGACTGAGGGGCTGACTCCGGGTCACTCACCTGGTAATCAGCAAACCGAGGTGCTTCCACAGTGCATCCCAGGAAGGGGGTCTCACTAGCCCCCATGGCCTTCAGTCAGTCTCAGGGGTGCCTGAGCTGCCCAAGGGATAAGGAATGTCTCAGAGCAGAGTCCCAAGGCCAAACTTCTGACCAAGGCTGGGGCTGTCCCAAGCCAGAAGAAGGGATACCAACTTTAATCTTTTGAGGGTGGTGAGGGATTTGAGGGTCTGAGCCAAGCACTTGGGGAGTGTCAGGATGACCATGGAGAAGAGAGAGACTGAGAGCCAGAATCTGGATAAAGAAGAGGTTACAGGGTGAAGGGGTGTGGGAAGACAGATGGGGTGAGGGTGGGGTAGGAATAAGGTTTCTGGCCCTGTAACGTGGCCTGAGAGACCCTTGGGGGCCTATAGCTATGGTAGGTCAGCTTGGAGCAGGGTCTTTGGTGCCTGGGGTTACCCCTAGGGAACCAGGAAAGATCCAGACCTTGCCATCTCCCCAGGGTATTCTCACATCTTTGTGTGGAGCAGTTCTTAGCCTTATTTTACAGATAAGAAAACTGAGGCCCAGAGATGTCAAGTAACAAGCCAAAGCCAAACAGAGAAACAGGCAGAGGCAGGACCTGAGTTCGAGTATCAGATTCTTCCCTTGATGCTGGGGTCCAAACCCTGCCTTTTAGTACCAGGCCCCCAAAGCAAAACCCGGCAGAAGTGTGACAAGCATAGACTCTGGGTGGGCCTCTGAGATCTGGTAGTTACTGGGTCTTTCGAGAGGAGGCAATTTTGTATTGATGGTGATGAGGTGGGTATAGAGATGGCTGCAGCTGCCTCCTAGGAGTTTGCTGTCATGTCCTTTCTGGGGTGGAGACATCTGTTAACTTTATACTTTTGTCTTCTCCAGACTCGTCGTCTGCAGAGGAGGAAGGGAAAGACTAGGGGGTAGGAGCAGGGACACAATGACAGAACAAATCCTCACTCTCCTGGCCTGTCACCATCAGTGGGCTGTGCTGTTGCCCTGCACAGCCACATTCCAGCTAGTCTCAGCCTGTCTCTCCTGAATCAGGCGAATGTTCAGCCTGGGTCTCTTGCCACGTGGACGATGGCAAGGAGAGAGGTGTGTTTGTTCTGTCACGTGAGCTGCACAAACAGCTTCCTCAGCATTTTTATTAATAATTCGGCCCATAGCCAAGGGGGTGGGGATGGGGGAAAGGACTGTGGGGAGACAGCAACATGAAGACCGTGCCAGGTAGAGGCCAGAGGGGAACTCAGGAGCCCTGCCTCCTAGCCGTGGCCTAGCAACAGAGCCAGGCAGCCTCAGGGGCCCTGTTTGGGAGAGTGCAGGCCCAGCATCTGCTCCTGAGGGACAGAATGTCCCTCCTTGAAGCCGACCCAGGACTCCTGGCCCTGAGGATGGTGCCAGATCGGAAACAGGCCTGAAGGGTCTGCAGCACACAGCACGGCAGTCCTTGGGGAACCAGGTGCTGCCCGCATTTCCTGCCATGTCATGGAACCCAGGACAGGGGACCAGCAACCAAACAGAATGAGAGGGGCTCTTTGGGCCCCCCTTCTCTGGGGACTGGAAGGGGAAAAGCTGAACGTCCAGAGGCTCGGGCCCTCCCCAATGAGAGACAAGACCCAAGGGCAGGGCAGGGGTGATTTACAGCCTCTGATCTTTTTCCTCAGAGGACCTGCTCACTCTTGCAGGCTCCATTTACTGCCTCTACCCAGTTCTCTGTGAGTACTTAGAAGACAGAATTGGGATTGGATTCTGGCACTCGGGCTGGCAGGGTCAAGGAGCCCAGCAGCTCCTAGAAACTCCCAGTTGGCTCGGCTCTCATCGATATTCCGGCAGGAGAGAGTAGCCTTCTAATGCAGCAGAATGGTTCACAGTTAGACATCTGGAAGAACTTTTCTGACAGGCAACACATGGGAATGGGGAGTATGTGGTGTCTCTGTTAAGGATAAACAAATAGCAACAACAACAATAATAATGGCATTCAAAAAGTATAAAGAATAAATTATATGTTCCAAGTATCTTTTTTTTTCTTTCTTTTTTTTTTCTTTTTTTTGAGAAGGAATCTCATTCTGTCACCCAGGCTGGAGTGCAGTGGTGCGATCTCAGCTCACTGCAACCTCTTCCCGGCTAATTTTTTTTTTCTTTTCTTTTTTTTTTAATAGAGACGGGATTTCACCATGTTGGTCAGGCTGGTCTCGAACTCCTGGCCTTGTGATCCTCCCGCCTCGGCCTCCCAAAGTGCTGGGATTACAAGCGTGAGCTACCGCGTCCGGTCTCCCAAGTATCATTTTAAGTGATTTGATTTTTTCACCATGCTTAAACTTAACAATAACCAAAGGTAATAGTTGTTATTATTACCCCATTGTAGAGATGAGGAAACTGAGGCTCAGAGGTGTCTGCCCAGGGTAAACACAGCAATGATGGCAGAGCCACGTAAATCTGTATTCTTTCCTCTTTCCCATGACTCTGCGTCCCCTAAACAAAGTGACTGAGACCCAGAGAAGGGGTGTCTTCAAAGTATTTTCTGTGTCAATGCTGCAGGCAGGAATTTAAAAACCACCCAAGATTCCCAATGCCCCAGAGCCTCAGTTTGCACAACTATATTTCATGGCGTTCCTCTTGTGTGTCTGAGGAGCTGTCCAGCTCTGACATCCTGGAACAAGGACTGTCCAATGCCTGTGAGGAGAGGATGAGACTGGACTTCGTACTCTTGTAAGAAACAGGCTATAAGCCCTCAGATGGGAGCAAGCACTGGGTCTCCTCATGAATCCCACAGTGGTTAGCAAAGGGCTGGGAGTCTCAACCAAGAGTGATTCTTACTCCAGGTTCTCTCGCCAGCTCCCCAGGGTGCTGGCTCCGGGGCCTTTAGCTCCCTGGGTCAGTTCCTTCTCCTCTAGAGGCCTTGCCTTCATCACCTGACACTTGCAAGGGGCAGCCTGGGGCATCTCTCAGATGTCCTGTCAACTCTGAAAAACTTTAGATGCTTAGTAAAGACCTGTTGAGTGGCGGTGATGAGGAATTCTGCTGTCCCTCTCTGGACTTTCAGATTGATGGGTGAAGGGATCTGAAGTGGGGAGATTCCTCAGCAGGGAACCTGTCTGTGTGCCCATCTGTGGTGGGGGGTGGTGAGGGTGCCCTATTTGCTCTTTTCCTTTCGAGACCAGGCTCACTCTGTTGCCAAGGTTGGAGTGCAGTGGTGCAATCATGGCTCACTGCAGCCTCAAACTACTGGGTTTAAGCCATCCTCCCGTCTCACCCTCCCAAGTAGCTGGGACCACATGGGCGCACCACCACACTGGGCTAATCTTTATTTATTTATTATTATTTTTTGGTGGATATGGGGTCTCACCATGTTGCTCAGGCTGGTTTCAACTCCTGGGCTCAAGTGATCTCCCGCCTCGGCATCCCAAAGTGCTGGGCTTACAGGTGTGAGCTACCATACCCAGCCCCTGTTTACTCTTTACTAGGGCAATGAGAGAGGCAGCTGGGGCGGGTGGGGGAATGAGCCAAGGTTGCAGACCCTGCAGTCCCAGCCTGTTGGCTTAGCTTTCTGGGGTTTGCCAGGCCCCAAAGCAGAGTGTAGATAACTCATGGGTTCTTGGCTGCATATGGGTGAGCTGGGGAGGACAGCTGCAAGGTGTATGAAATAGGATGGCCCTTCCCCAGAGGGTGAGTGCTGAGATTTCTGGTCACTGAGGAATGGTGGCCTTAACCTACAGATGCCTTTTTTCCTTCCACTTTTATTTAGAACATTCATTCCCAGGAAATCTGCTCTCTACTGGAACAGTCTTCATGGAGGTTTGCTGGGGAACTTCCTTATCTTTTTCTCAACCGGAAGAGCTATAGGTGGAGGTGAATGTGTATGTGTGTATGTGTGTGTGGTGGTGGTGGTTGGGGATAGACTCCATGTGATTTCAAGGGGATGGGGTCTGTTTGTGTGTGTGTCGGGGAGAATTGAGATAGAGCGGTGTTCCTGGCTGCCTTCTGCACTGTGGGCAGGTGGAGGTGTGGCAGGGCGTTGAGTAGTGCAGTATAAAGCCAGCAGAAGTGGATTTCTCAGGGTGGAAATGAGAATCCTTGACTCTGGGAAGCCTAGCTCACCTGCAAACTGCATTCTCAGCACAGGGGAGGGCAGGATGCTGCCACAGACCCAGGGATTTTACCCTCTTACCTAACCCATCTGTGAAGGGTAGGGGCAGCACCTGTATTGCGGGGAGCGTCAGTGTATGTGTCTCTTTGTGTGGGCAGCATGTCTGTGTGGGGGGGAGGGGGCAGCATGTCTGTGTGTGTGTGTGTGTGTGTAGGTGATTAGGTGTGTAGGTGCGTGCAGGGAGGTCTCTGTGCCTGATACCCCTAATGGTTCAGTTCCGGGTTTTTCATATCCTTGGGAGACAGGTCTCTTCTCCTCCCTGCCCCAGAATCAAATCATCCCAATTCTGTAGAGAAATGAGAACTAGTGTTCACCTGATTTAGACTGTACTGAGCCGGCAGAGGGGCAGAGAGGACCAAGAGAGGTCCAGGGTTGGGAGGGGAAGGAGGGATTTCCTTCCTACCCTCCGAATTGCTAGGGTCAAGGAAAAGAGGGGAGGATCAGAGGAGGAGCTGCTGCTGGAGAGGGATAACCAGAGGCTGAAAAGTCTATTTTCTTCTTTCGTGGGGCTGGGTTAGGTGAGGAGGGTCACTAGGCGTAACCTCCCACCGAGGGCAGGGATCTTAGCCCTTTATGCTCCACCTGTGTGCGAGCTTGGAGAAACACCGGACTGGTGGACCCAGGCTCAGCGCTGCCAAAAATTCCACTCCTGGTTTTTGCACACACCAGCCCGTCTGCCCCGGACCGCCGCGGTGTTGAGTTCGGAGCTGACGCCCTCGAGCCGCCAGCAAGCGGAAAACCCGGAGTGGATCTCTACGCCTTTTGGATCGGAGCCAAAGGGCACTTCGGAGGAGGTGGCCGGCTCTGCGGCCCTGCCCGGTGCCAGGACGCGGCCATCGGGGAAGCAC